AGGGGTCAGTGAAACTAACTGTAAGCTGATCTACCTGTCCAGGGAAACCAGATGTTCCAGGGCCCTTAGGACAGGGGGCTTGCTGAGGGAAGCCCAGCCTCTTACCCACAGATGCTAGGTTCTTAAAGATTTCCGACATAACATCCTGGTAAAGGACCCTCTGGCTGGCATCTAGACAGTCCCACTCTTCCTGGGTGAAATTCACTGCCACATCCTCAAAGGTGACTGGCTTCTGGAAGAACAGGAGAGACTCAAAAAGTTTACATAAATATATGTAGGTATGTATATGTGTGTGTGTGTGTGTGTGTGTGTGTGTGTGTGTACAAGATTAACATCCAGTCTCAAGATTCAGAGAATTAAAACCTAAGAGAAAGATAAAACCATGGAAGGAAGAGAGAAATATTAAAAGAGAGACACAAGGCCAGCAACTGTGAAGTATAGAAAGGAAAGGAGGCCAGATGTGGTGGCTCATGCCTGTAATCCCAGCACTTTGTGAGGCTGAGGCAGGCAGATCATGAGGTCAGGAGTTCGAGACCAGCCTGACCAACATGGTGAAACCAGGTATCTACTAAAAATACAAAAATTAGCCGGGTATGGTGATGTATGCCTGTAATCCCAGCTACTCAGGAGGCTGAGGCAGGAGAATTACTTGAGCCCGGGAGGCAGAGGTTGCAGTGAGCCAAGATCACGCCACTGCACTCCAGCCTGGGTGACAGAGCAAGACGCTGTCTCAAAAAAAAAGGAAATGAAAGATGAAGAGAAAGAGAGAAAGATAAGATGTGGGGGAGAGGAAAGAGAATATGCAGAATACAAATAGGAAAGCAAAGCAAAAGAAAAAATGCTGCCACTCTAACAAATTTCAGGAAGTACCACATGAAGGATGCCAGGGTGGTGCGGGAGATGGAGAAAGGTTTTGCGGCTCCTTTTTCTGGATGTCGTTCAGTCTAGAACAATCTGAGATTTCATTTGACCTGCAGGCAGCAGCATGCATGAAAGTGCTCCTGGAGTCTAGGACCTGGACCCCACCTCTCTCTAGCTTAGTCTCCTCACCTTCTTCACCCATGCCTCCCTCCAGCAATCTCTCTTCATGGCTTCCTGCAGGGTGGCAGCTACCTTGCCCACCCATGGGAACATCTTCTGTACAGGTTCGATTGGCTTCAGCTGTTCAAACATCTTCTCTTCTGTGGTGTCTCTTTCCAGCTTTATCCACTCCTGACCTGGCGCCCAGGGCTGACTGGATTCCTTCCTGGGGCTATCTACCTCCCAGTAACTGGGCAGATGGAGAGGCTCAGCAAAGGTCCCAGGGTTTGATGTGGCTTCCTGTGACAAATGTATCTGCTCCAAGAGGCTGTCTTCCTTTTTTGTTCTGCTGTCCAAATTCTCCTCTTCCACAATTGAGAACAACTTTGTTTCCCTCAAAGCCTGGGCCACAGAGTTCAGGGCCCTGGTCACCCTTGGCTCACCAGCTGCCATTGTTTAGTAACACCAGGCTGGGCTAGGGGTCTGCCCTCTGTTCTACCCTGCTTCTATATACCTGAGGTCAGAGAAAAACAAAACATATCAGCAAGAGGGAGGGTAAGAAACAGCTTCCTTATTTGGTCAGGGAATGCCATTAGTTATTAAACCCCTGCTGTGTGCCATTGGATGCTCTCAGCAATGAGGCAACAATTACTGGCCCTGTCTTAAGGACCTAATGCAGAGATGCTAAATAATTTTCCAAGGACAAGTGGACATTCTTGATCTACAAAAGTTAATGTTTAAACCTAACGTTAATGTTAGACTCAGTACCATTGGAAATCATGTAGCTGGGGTAACCAGGCTAGGATCTGTCACAGATCACCTTGAGTGAGTCTCTTTATTCTTTCTGACTTAGTTTCATCAGAAATGTGAGAATAAAGGAGACACTCTCTAAGATCTCTTCCATGACAAAAATTACACACACACACACACACACACACACACACAAAATTCTGTGATCTGGATTTTCAATACATGTAGTAGTTCCCCCTTATCATGGTTTTGCCTTCCAATGCTTCAGTTACCCATGGTCAACCGTGGTTCAAAAATATTAAATGAAAAAATCCAGAGGACAGGCACAGTAGCTCATGCCTGTAATCCCAGCATTTTGGGAGGCTGACGTAGGCAGATCATCTGAGGTCAAGAGTTTAAGACCAGCCTGGTCAACATGGTGAAACCCTGTCTCTGAGGCCAGCGGATCACCTGAGGTCAGGAGTTCGAAACCAGCCTGACCAACATGGTGAATCCTTGTCTCTACCACAAATACAAAAATTAGTTGGGCATCATGGCATCTGCCTGTAATCCCAGCTACTAGGGAGACTGACGCAGGAGAATTGCTTGAACCCAGGAGGCAGAGGTTGCAATGAGCCGAGATGGCACCATTGCACTCCTGCCCGGGCAACCAGAGTGAAACTCCGTCTCAAAAAAAAAAAAAGAAGAAGAAGAAGAACTACAACACAGCTCTCCATTCAGCCCAAGACACTTCTTGTCTCTGCCCTTGCTCTCCCACCCAACACATTCATCCTCGCCCTTGGGTCTTATAGGCTAGAAATAAGAAAAAATAAATTTGGCGTTTCAAATTAAAAGCAAATAAAAATTTAACTGGAGTCTTTCAACACTGTCAGAAATGTAAATTTTAACTTACAACAACACTTCTTGAAATCTATCTTATCTCATTCTCATTATTGCTCAAATTCCCATAGACACTCCACAGACAC